GTGGTGCTGGGGGGTTGAACTGCGGTCCCTGTGCTTTGTTAAGCTTGTTCTAAGTAGGTGCTTTAGACCACTGAGCCATCTCACCAACCCCCCCCTTATCTTTCTTTATAGCTAACTAATACTCCATTGTATAAAAATATCACATCTTTCTTATCTACCTTTTTTTAAACACCTTTGTTGACACAGTTTATCCACTTAAGATGTATGACTTAGTGGGTTTGGATATATTGACAGACACGCAATAATTACCAAAGTCTTTGCAGAGCGTTTTCAGCATTTTACAGTAAACCCTGTGTGTTTCAGTGGCTGTCTCCCCTCCAATGTCCCTGGTCTCCACACTCCACCACCTCCATGCTGAGGAACCATGGAGCTACTTTCTATAGAGCTTCCTTATTCTAAATTTGCACATGAGCAGAACCATGTAAGGTCTTTTGGAGCTGAAGTCTTTCAGCCAGTAAAAATCTTAAGACCCATTAGATATATTTTCAGCACCTTAATAACTCAGAGTGGGAATTAAACTTCAATGCCCAAATCCTTGGAAGACCATAGCACATGGTCCGGGCACCCTTGTTGAATATAAAATGAAGGCAGATATATGGGTTTGGGTTTGGTTCTGGACTTTTGTGTTCCATTTAACCATAGACATTAACTTTTCATGTTTCTAGAGACTAGCAGCTAAAGAGTAGCACACCGGAATCTCCGTCTTCTGGTGTGGGTGTCTACGGCTCACAGGCAGTGGCTGTCTCCTTGTTTTCAAATGTCCAATTTGTCCATTTCCTTTGTCATCTGATTTGTTTGCATACAGTTATAATTTTGTCTAACCTTCATTTCTGCAAAATAAGTACTAATTCTTTATTTTTTAGAAAAGAATAGGAGGGCCAGACAAATAGCTCAGTGGATTGAAGCATCTGCAAACAGGCGCAGGGGCTGGGGGCTCAATCCCTGGGCCTGCTGTCCTGGTCCCGCCCCCAGGGCGCACTGAGATGGCAATTGAGATTGAGCATGATGGTGTGCATCTATAATCCCAGCTCTTGGGAGGCTGTAAACAGGTGGGTCATTATGAGTCCAATCTAATAGTGAAATCCTGAACACCCTGTAGACCCTTCCCAAAATATGCCAAAAAAAAAAAAAAATTAAAAAGGAAAAAAAAAAAAAAAGCAAACTTCATGCTTCCAAAATACAGTGGCAGAGAATAAATGTTCCTATTCTAAAAAGGAAATATGAGTGAATAGAAAGTAATAAAACCAATGCAAGACCAAAACCCAAAAAGGTGAACATTAAATCCTATATTGCCATGTCTAACATCCAGGGCACAATATAGTGATATACAAGAGCCAAGTGGATTGTGCAGTCCCACCCCTATGGCCTTGCTGACTGTGGCATACATGGCTTCTCTCTTGAGCTGGCGTTGCTTGCTGCCGGCCACTTTCCTGAGATGGTCCACTTTTCTGGCATCTTCATCTTCCTTGGGTCTCCACTAAAACTCTTCACTCTCACAGCTTCATGCATTGTCCTCTCTGGGGCTCCTGGCACGAACTGTGATCCTGTCATAACACATTGTCTGGTCTCCCAGGCTTTTCTCTGAAACCTGGGTGAAGCTTCCATGACCTTATAACTCGTGTTGCATTCTTCATGTTGGTAAAACCAGCACCACATGGGTGACACCACAGTCTGCTACCAGCTCAGCAGTAGCCAGGCCCTTTTAGTCCATGGCTGCAGAGGCCTTTGAATATCTGGATGGCTAAACAATGGATATGGGGAATACTTCCATAGGTGTTCAAGTGTGCCAGGTGCCTTGGATTCTTCTTTCCTCAAAACAGTATATTTCTAGCAATTTTACACTTTTACACCTAATTGTAGTTACTTTTCTCACTGCTGAGACAAAATACCTGACACCCAAAGTTAAAGGAGGAAATGTTTATTTCATATAAGTTTGTAGATGTTTCAGTCCACAGTTGGCTAGTTCCAAGGCAGGCTAACTTGGTAGAAGGGCATAAGACAAAATAGAGAGTTCATACAGACTGAAGACAGCCATAGCAGCAAGCAAGCAAGCCCAAGAAACCTTACTATCTTCTTTCTGCCCCTTTTTATATTCTATCTAGCCTACTGGGCTTGTGATGGGTGCCAAACCAATCTGTTTTAGTAATCATATACCCTTCATCCCAGCATCACACACTCTACCTCTAAAAAAGCCACCTCTAAAAAAATCCCCCACCTATGACTATATGAGGTTTTGTGGAGACACCTAGGCACAGGCTTAGCTGAACAAACAATGGATTTGTCAGGCCAATTGCTGAGCTGCTCTTGTGGCATTGTTCTGTCATCCTGATGCAAAGCAGTTGGCTTCTTTTTTAATGGCATTAATCAGTTCGGCAAGCACACCCTCTGTGCCTCTAACTTTACATGAGCTTCCTTGCTGGCCAAACTGCATATGTTTGAAACCTTTTGCTCTGCTTTGTTCTCCCAATTCTCATTGTAAATCTGGCTGAAAGTAGCCAACAGTACCCCTGCAACAGCTTGAAAGTTGGGCTACCTTGAAACTTCTTCCACCACATCTACTAGTTTGCCACTTTTAAATTCAGCCTCAGACAACATCTTAGGACATGAGCAAAATATGTGAAAGTTCTTTGCTGGAATGTAAAATAATTGCACATGGTCCAATTTCCATAGAGTCCTCATTCTCGTCTGAAACCTTAGGAGCCAGGCTGTTACTGTCTTTATCCTTATCAGCATTCTGGCCTAAGCTCCAACCAGAATCAAACTGTGCTTCTATCATTCCAGGGCATCTCTTTCCCACATCTCGAGACCTTTTCAGACTCCTCCCCAAGCAAGGTTCAAAAGCTTCTGAGCCACATGATCAGCTGCAGTCACAGCAATGAGCCCACTTGTTAGTATCAATTATTTTCGTTAATCACCCTTCTGGCTTGACACCTACAACTTAAAGAGATTTATTTTGGCTCTACAGTGTCAGGAGGGTTCGGTCTATGGTTTTTCTCCTTGTTTTTTACTTTATTCCTGGCCTTTTTACTATAATATGTTTGTTTGTATGTCTCTGTGTTTATTTTACTTGGAAATTTTAGCTTCTTAGATGTGTAGATCATTGGTTTGTTTTGTTTGGTTTGGTGGTACCAGGGATTGAACTCAGGAACCTGTACTTGTCAGGCAGGTGCTTATTCTACTGAGCTATCTCTTCAGCCCTCACTGTTTTTCAATCCATTTTGGATGTTTTCAGTCATTATTTCTAAGATTTTTTTCTTTTCTGTTCTCTTTTTTTTTGTGTGTGTGTGTGTGTCTCCATTATGCGTGTGTTTGTGCACTTAATCACCCACACATCCCCAAGGTTTTGTTCATTTGTTTTCTCTCTGTTTTTTTTGGCTTAATTTTTGATACAATTTTCTCCTCCTCCTCCTCCTCCTCCTCCTCCTCCTCCCTCCTCCTCCTCCTCCTCCTCCTCCTCCCCCTTTTCCTCTCCCTCCCCTCCCCTTCCCCTCCTCTTTCCACTCATCCTCCATTGTCTTAGTTACTTTTTACTTGTTGTTGGGACAAATACGGACACTCAAAATGAAGGAAAGAAAGGTTTATTTAGCTCACAGTTACTGGAGGATTCAGTCCATATTCCTCTGGCTCCAAGGCAAACAACAGCAGTTCATGCTGCAGAAAACAATGAAGAGCAGAGGAGGAGCAGCAGCAGCTGTGGCATCCATCAAGCCTCTCTCTTCCTCCTAAGCTGACTGCGAAGACTGGCGCTCCATGGCAATCGTAGCTCTTCCAAAGTGGCGCGGCTGCGAAGATCAAGCTCCTCCAAAGACTGGGACTTCTCCACAGAAGCGGGCTGGGCAGCAGGAAACCAGGCAGGGCGGCAGGAAGCCTTTCTCAATTCCTGGGCCCTGCCCACCTGCAGGGGTAGGCCCCCATGCTGAGATCAGCCAGAGCTGATGCCAAGTTGACACAATGTATCAAGTAACACATCCATGTATTTGGTTGTTATAGAGTCTTACTATGCAGCTCCCAAACTCATGGTGATCCTCCTGCTTTCAGCCTCCCCAGTGCTGGGATTACAGGTGTGCATCACTACGTCTGGACTCTGGCCAGCTCAGCCCACCCTGGGGGCAGGGCCGGTGTGGCATGTAGTACCAGGGATTGAACTGTGGTCCCTGTACTTTCCTAAGCTTGCCTAAGCAGCCACTTTAGTCTACTGAGGTATCTTGCCAGCCCTTGGTGTAATTTCTTATTAAGCCACTTTTAAGTTTGGCAATTCTTTCATTTTTTTTCAAGCCTACTACAAAGAAATTTTGGTGAATTTATTTCAGTTATTATACTTTCCAGCCCCAGGATTTTCAATGGGCTCTTTTCACTCCTTTTATTTTTATTTAACTTTATTTATTTATTATTTATTTATTTTGTGGTCAGCTTAGCCCACCCTGGGGGTGGGGCTCGTGCGGCATGTGGTGTCAGGAATGGAACTTCCTTCCCTTCATGCTTGCCTAAGCTTGCCTGAGCAGGCGCTTTAGACTGCTGCACTATATTGCCAGCCCCTTTGGTGCTCTTTTCAATCATTCCTGTTCCTATTGTTGTATTCTCTCGATACCGTCATAATACTTTCTTCTAATTGTGGTTTCCTTAGTTCTGTGGCTTCACATGTTTACAGTGACCATTTTCAATTATTTTTCTGACACATCTGACCTCTGGGGTCACTCTCACAGCCAGTCTCTACTGCCACTTTTTTCCAGTGTAGGGGTATAATTTGTTTGCATATCTCAATTTTTGGTTGAAAACTCAACATTTTAGGTAATATATTGTAGCAACTCAGTACTGCTCCTGATCCACAGACCTGGTATTGGTATCTGCTTATTCAGTTAATCAGGCACATTGTTTTAGTGCTGTGTCCCTCCCCAGTGTTGTGCTTCCCACACACTGAGGTGCAGCTCTGCAAACGGCACAGCTGCCCTAGACGAACCTGGCTTTTCAGAATCCTCCCTGAGTCTGCCAGCTTACATCCTACTACCTGAAAGCCAACTGCAGTATTATTTCCAGTGTTTTCCTGGACATTAATTGCTCTACAAACTAGTACAATCAAATACTGGCTCACTTGAAAGAATGCTTTTGAGGTCATTGTTTGGTGTTTGTCTGACCCAAGGAAGGTTCCTCTCAACTGTCTTATTGCAGTTCTCTCTTGCAAACTAGTGGGGTTACAGCTGAGGCTAGGTCTTCATTACATCCACTAATCTCTCAACTCCATTCACACAGCCTGCACTGTTCTTGAAAGCACCCTCAGGTCTAAGTTTCTCTGTACAAATGAGGTCAGTTCCTCTGGGAAGCAATTAGGTGCTGTTGGATAGCCTGCCCCCCAGCCTCTGCAGAATCTTGAGGGCTCCAAGTCTAGGATGGAGACAAAGGCAAGCTTCTGAGTGTGACCCAGCAGAGCCCTTGGTGAAGGACAGTGGCAGCTGAAGTCCTTAGCTTGCCTCTCCAGGCCCAGCACCACTGCCCCACAGCAGGGAAGAAGGGCTACCCCAGACAGCTTTCTCAGTGGGCGGAGGAGAGTCACCCAGGGCCACTTCGGCAGCAGGTAGCTGGGGCAGGATGAGAAACGCCAACAACCTAGTCCTCCAGAGGAAAGACCTCGGACTGAAAGGGAGCTAGATGGGAGGGAAGAGAGCCCAGTGTTTCTGGCTGTAGCCCAGGGGAAAGGAACTGCTCCCTCGCCCAGCTGTGAGGGCAGAGGGAAGTGTGGTCCTGGCTCACAGACCACAGGCGCTTGCTTGCCTTCCTTACTTGGCTGCCACTGATTTTCTTGATTAGATGCTTACTGTTCAGTCTTGGAGCCATTCCAGAGATTCTACCTTTTACTAGTTTCATTGGGGAATTGGGTTGCTGGACTTCCTCTTGCTGTCCTGAGCAGATTTCAGTTTCCTCTATTGTTATAACCGGTTGGGGTTATTTCAATGGGACTCTCAGAGGAGAGAAGCTGGGCAGTCCTGTCAACCTAAGTGTCCTTCTTACACTTCCCTGCTACATCCCCAGAAGCTAACACTGAGTAGAGGCTCAGCGTTGCTCGCTGGAGTTACTGATGATATTCCAGCAGGAAGTAAATGGGAATCCTGAAACTGGGAAGGAAGAGAAGAAACATGCCCACAGCACAGGCGCTGAAGAGCAGAGCCCCGCCACCACTTTTGGGGTAGGCGACCCTGGCCTATTCTAAGCCTCAGTTAAAACCAATTATAGGGGCTGGTGAGATGGCTCAGTGGTCTAAAGCACCTACTTAGAACAAGCTTAGCAAAGCACAGGGACCGCGGTTCAATCCCCCAGCACCACATGCCAGCCAGCCCACCCCCTGGTGGGCTGAGCTGGCCACACACACACACAAATATAAATAAATAAATTTAAAAAAAAACACCTCAGTGTTAAAAAAAAAAAAACAATTATAAAATGGATCTAATAAAACTACCTATCAGGTAAAGTTCTGGAGATTCAGTAGCATCCGCAATGGACTTAACACTTCATCTATGCCTAATAAACAACCCCTTGTACTTTAAATAGCGCTAGGTGTGGTTGTATATTTATCCATCACCTCATTGAGTTCGCACTACGATCCTGAAAGAGCCCTTAATAGTCCTGTCTGCCGAGTGGCAGAGAAAGACGATAAAGGTTAAAAGCCTTGTCCAGGGCCGCACAGAGACAGAACCGGGGTTTAAAGCCAGAGCGATCTGGATCCAAGCTTCTTTCTGTTCAGCCCTGTTCAGAAACTGAAACACAAGATGGGAGAGGAGAGACTGGACCAGAGCAGATCTCTAGGCTCAGATAAGCTCCTGGTTGCGCGCAGGTCGGAGGAGACTGTTCCTGGGAAGATGCAGGCTCCTTAGGCTACCGGGCTGGCGCGCAGGCCCCGCACAGGACCTGGGGCGCGCTAGCATGTGGAGAAATCGTTAGGCGTGGGCTGTGGCCTCTTAGTCACATCAAAGCACCGCTGAGCGCGTTCCTGCACGGGCACCAACAGTCGGGAGGGAAGGGCGCGCGGCAGGGCGACCCCGCACCCCGCAGCCCACAGCCGACCGCGAGCCCCCAGAGAGCCGCCCGCCCCGCTCACCTCCGCGCCGCCGCTGCGCTCC